CAGATCATACTTCGTTTGCTATCGGTCACTGTTGCCCTCATCAATACATCGTTGCTATCGTCACTGTTGCCCTCATCAATACATCTTGCTATGTCACTGCTGCCCTCATCAATACTCGTCGCGCTATCGTCAGCTCTGCCCTCATCAATACTCGTTGCTATCGCACTGCTGCCCTCCTCAATACATCGTTCTGATGTCACTGCTGGCTCCTCATCATACATCGTGTGCTATGGTCACTGCTGCCCTCATCAATACATCGTTTGCTATCGTCACCTCGCTGCCCTCATCAATACATCGTTGCTAGCTCGTCACTGCTGCCCTCATGCATACCATCGTTGGCTATGGTCACTGCTGCCCTCATCAATACCGTCGTTGCGGTCACTGCTGCCTTATCAATACATTCGGTGCATGGCACTGCTCCTTATCATACATCGTTGCTATGGTCCTGCTGCACTCATGCAATACATCGTGGGGCTTTCGCGGCACGAAAAATACGACACGAAAATGCGAAACGTCATGTCGTGTTTTTTCTGCAATGTCAGTTTTACGTTTCAGGGCTACAACAGGCACAGCTACCTCGCTGATATCAGACAGGAAGACATTATGAACGTGGTATGTAAGGTGCTATACACACAGATATGTTATACGTATCACTCTTGTTAATTAACATTACATGTCCATGGTGAACATATGCAAATACAGTCCACTCTGATACTGCTTCTAGTTGTGTAGCTATCCAATCGCATATAGAGTATTTGCCAGCATAGCAACATATTCATATGGTTATAAGTCTTAGTTATGTCTGATCTATGTATGCTGTGTTGAAGCAGCAACCAATATGCTCTATCTTCTTCTTTTACTAGATAGAGGACAAAGATAAGGCTGCCCAGCTGCAAGCTGCTGTTCAGGACAGATGTCAGAGAGGTATGAATCTGTGATTTCATTGCTCGCTGTTAGTTTCTCCCTTTGTGTTCCTTCCCTTCCTTGTCCGTGCCTGCTTTTCCCACGCCCCCTTTTTGCCTACCTATCTCGCTTGCTGCCTCCTTGTTTTCTCGTTGCATGTATACCATTGTTATTGTCTGTCTTCCTCCTCCTGCCTTCTCACAGTTTACACCTTCCGCGTCCATTCCTAAAGACTTATTACATGCAAAACAGCACATGTATCCCTGTCGTATGTAAGTAATTTCGGCTTTCTCTCATGTTTAGAAGGAAGGCCACTGTCATAGAGACAGACATCTCTGTTCTGTGCGGACCGAACAACTAGCTCTCTCTCTGTCTGTGGCTTCTACCATGGCGTGGGTGCAGCGGGGACTTGAGAAGGAAATTGAAGGCCTAATCTGACTTAAGTGTTTGTTTATTTTAGTGCATATTTTGTCTTGTCTACCGTTTGGTAAATTTCGTAGTTAACTAGGTGTATCTGTGCACTGTTATATAGTTTTAGTGGCGCTGAGAGGGTCTATGTCCCCAGGGTACTATCGGAGGGTATCCTGGGTATGGTTCGATATATCGGAACGTACCCTGGTACTATCTAATATGCCGGACCGTACCTCGCCTACTCTACTAACGAGTCTAGGGAGTCGCCTACGCCTACTCCCTAACCCTAACCTTAACCCTAACCCTAACCATATCAGATAGTTACCAGGGTACGTTCCGATATATCGAACCGTACCCAGGGTACCCTCCGATAGTACCCTGGGGGACATAGACCCTATGAGCTTTAGTGGCTGCACATCTTATTAAAAGTCTGATAGGAATTGTGAGGAACATATGTGATGTCTTTTATGCATGTGATTAGAAGTTAAACTTTCTTGTTTGATATCTTGACTGATGTAATTACAATGAGCCGTAATTTGAATAATTAGTTTAAATACCAGTGCATACTGTAGTGTACTACCAAAGATGAAACTGATGATGGTTGACATGAATGATTGCGGATCGTTGATCGATGTGAGATAGCTCTTCTAATGTCATATAAATGCACGTCTTTGCTAGTGCCTCAGCCACATTTGTCACACGTACACTCAGGAATAGAAATTGGAATTGGAATAGGAATTGAGACATACTCAGGAAGAGGATTATTAGAGAGAATTAGAATAGGAATTGTGGCATACTCAGTATTTATATCTGAAAACTGGGTGCTTTAGGGACGAGACTGAGATATTGGAGTTTTGATGTTCAGTGCGAGGTAACTGATTACTGTGATTTTGTATATTTGATTGTTATCATTGTTGTTTTATATGGTTGATTTTGTTGAGGCTGAAGGCTGTGTAAGATATAAACGTTATAGGATCATTCTGTTGGAGATAATTGTATGTGATTTTTGTTTGAATCATGATCAGACAAATGAGGAAAATCTAGTATTGTGATTACAGATGAATGTCATGAAATTGTTATTAAATTATGTATAATTACTTGAGAGAGTTAATTAAAATATATATTAGTATCACATTCTATAATTTTGTGTGTGTGGTGATCAGTCGTTCAGCTGCGCCTGGAGGAAGATTGCATTGTTAAATGTACTGAAGCAAAAACATGTAAATTATAATTTCCCCTAAAGTATTGTCTCTGTCCAGCTGTGAGATTGGTTTTGTGCGCATGTGTGATGACGGCAAGGAAATCTGTAATGATCGTTGACCTCAGGTCAACCTATGATCAAAGTTATATAGAACACCGCTCAAGCAGTTGCCTACTTAGTGTTAATGACGCCATGCATCAATTAGTCGCCGAAACATTTATTTTTGGCTGTTGAAGTTTGTAGAATGCTATGCAGAATTTGCAGAGGTAGTTTCATCCTAGTTCTTACATGTTTTCGTCGATCGCCGTTAATAGATGGCGCCACAGCACATATATTATGTAGATAGCGTGACATGCTCTAGCGGTGTTTTCATATCGCAGCTGTATTTTGTCTTACTTTCCTTCCATACACGCACACAAGCACGTAAAATTACCGCACGTAGATAAGCGGAAGGGTGATACCCAGATGGAAATTAGGTTAAATTACTATGGGGCATATGACTCATAGTTCACACGGCTAGACCGAGATATGTCTAGACTCTAGTATGACCTACGCACCCCGTTTATTCGATAAATGCAGCCGCTGAAAGAAACCAGGAAGGACATTCGATCAAATCAGATACGTTCTAAGCATTTAAGTTCAAGTTTAGGTATATAAATGTCTACGCATGTCGTAGTATTTATGGGCTTTATCTGACCGCTGTTTCGGACATTTCGATAATTTACCGTCCTGGTCGACATTCTTCAACAACTTAAACGGTGGTAAAACAGATGATAGATGGATGACGAGGCGCATATTAACGTAGTCGCAGCGGTCGTAAGGTACGGTTTATGTGACTCAGCGTACCTCTCTATTAGCCATGCAACCTGACACACATAAATCCTGCTTACTTGACTGCATCCGTGCGCAGAAGAAACCGTCTAATTATATTAATGCAATTGAAACACGATTTTTACCGGCTACTATTATAACGCGAGCTTACTAGAGCGTTTAATAATAAGACTTGTTATAGACGCGTGAGTGCTGTTGCTAATCGCTTACCCTGCTCCTATGCTCAGGTTCGAACACGCGCGTGTGCGATCGAGCGATGCACCTTCTCGTGCATGCACGCACGCACGTATGCATGAACGCACAGTAAAGCAGGACGCGGAGGGAGAGAGAGCGCGCGAGAGAGGGAGAAAGATCGATATAGAGAGCGAGCGAGAGAAAGAGAGGACGAGAGAGATAGAGAGAGAGAGAGGGAGAGCGTCAGAGAGAGAGGGGGGAAGAGAGAATGCGAGAGAGGGGGAAGAGAGAAAGAGAGAGAGGGGGGGAGAAAGAGAGGTGTGTGCGAGAGAGGGAGAGAGAGAGAGAGAGAGAGAGAGAGAGAGAGAGAGAGCGAGAAAGAGAGGGAGAGAGAGACTAATTAGCGAACGAACAAAACAATCAGCAGAAAGGCGCACGTCAGTTTCAGCTTTGTCTCCGCCATCATTAATTATGCGCTATATATGTATATGACTGTAGCGCGAGACCTGTATGTGTACTCCTCAGCATGTAAACACAGCGCCATCCTTAATTCGCAACCGCGCACTTGTTATGCAGATCGAGCACGACGCAGCCAGGCGACCCTTGTTCGCATCCAAACAAGAAGACTAATTTTGGCCGCGCTATATACTCTTCAGACTGCCGCCTCTCACAATGGTGGGAAAAATCCGTGAGATTTCGGTCGGACCGTACACCATTGTTTCAGGTAAATCTATATATAGAAGCGCAGGTATATAGATGGAATATATACGCCAGGACCAGTTCGACAGCTTACTTACACACGTAATGGCGTCTAATTTCTAAAGTTGTGCCGCCGCTGGCGGGGCCAGATGTGTTATTGTACGCGCGGGGTCCTAATGGGGACAGGACAAAGACACAAAGAGAGCGCGACTGCGCTTGCGCGGTCGACATGAGACAGCAAGCGGGTGTGTCGTTGTGTGGTTAGAGATAGAGTGTGTACGCCGCTTAACCACCGGGGTAAAACTCTCACGAGATGGGATGTGTGCCTTACGATACGTCTGTGTGACACCGAACATGTATATTTGAGTCCAACATGTGTCGAAGTGCACACATGGTGTCAGTTTTATTGACCACTAAGTATTGGTTTACTATACTTACCATTGGTGATAACTTTTTTCGGTATTCCGCTGTGCGTGCGTGCGTACATCCGGGTACATGTGTGTGCGTGTGCGCGTGTGTAATTGCGCGCGCTTACGTGTGTATGTGTATAAGCGCGCATGCAATCACTGAACGATATATTCACTTCATTCACATCGCAAGCTTATTTTATCAGTTAAATCTCTGTGTTGAAACACAGAGTCGTATATAAGGAAGCGGCTTTTATATCCAAAATCGTTATATATGTAAAATAAGGGAAAATATCGGCACATGAGGGGCGAAGTCGTCGACCCTCGGATCGACTATTTATCAAAAATACGACCTCCGCCGAATGTAACATCGAATCTCACTTCATATCTGCTGTAAAGTTATCGTTTCAAGAGCATCGATGACGATAATTATGCATATAAACATTATTTGGCTGAGGTGCCGAGGCGAGCGCCCTCTGACGGCTAATCCAGTGCATGCTGGTCTAGCTTGCTATCGTCTGCGAGCGTCCGCGCGGCAGCTAGCGCACGACGGGTGACATGCTAAATCTAGCGGAGAGGAAATGGCTGTTGCCAGGCAGAAATCCGCAGCCGCCGGGAAACAGCGACGATGATGCTGCTACGCACGGCTGCTCCTGATGGTGTGTGCATGCAAAGACGCTGCTGCTGCTGTTACTACTACTACTGCCGCCGTTACTATTGCTGCTACTGCTACTGCTGCTGCTGCTACTGCTGCTGCTGCTGCTGCTGCTGCTGCTGCTGCTGCTGCCGCCGTTACTATTGCTGCTACTGCTATTGCTGCTGCTGCTGCTGCTGCTGCTGTTACTACTACTACTACCACCGTTACTATTGCTGCTACTGCTGCTGCTGGTACTGCTGCTGCTGCTGCTGGTACTGCTGCCGCTGCCGCCGTTACTATTGCCGATACTGCTATTGCTACTGCTGCAGCTGCTGTTACTACTACTACTGCTGCCGTTACTATTTCTGCTACTGCTGCTGCTGCTGCTGCTGCTGCTGCTGCCGCCGTTACTATTGCTGATATTGCTATTGCTACTGCTGCTGCTGCTGTTACTACTACTATTGCCGCCGTTACTATTTCTGCTACTGCTGCTGCTGCTACTGCTGCTGCTGCTGCTGCTGCTGCTGCGGCTACTACTACTACTGCTGTTACTGCTACTATTACTGCTACTATTACTGCTACTGCTACTGCTACTGCTACTGCTACTGCTACTGCTACTGCTACTGCTACTGCTACTGCTACTGCTACTGCTACTGCTACTGCTACTGTCTTACACTCTGACGACGCACGCACGCACGCACGCGCACACACACACGCACGCACGCACGCGCACACACACACACACGCGTGCGCGCGCGTACAAACACTGAGAATAATTTCATCTTAGGTCTCTATCGCTGTCTTCCTCTCCACCTACACCCACTTACGATTCTGAAGTATCTCTTATTAATATTCTTAGTTCTCCTATCCTCCTGCATCCGACCCTTCCCCGCATCTCTATAACCCATTCATGCAACGCGTCGCCCTCGATCTTTGTCGTTCCCGTTCTATCCCACACGTAAACACGTATATATATATACCCCTCCATATCACCCTCGTCAGCAGACTATTTTCTTCTCTGCTGTGGTATATCCCAACCCCATCTGTCATTGCATCCTACCCTTTCTCTTCAATGCCACTCTATCTCTCCTTCCCATGCTTTGCTCTCCGTCTTAGCGTCGATATATCCACCAAATTCCCTCGATCCCTATATTTCTACCGTGGCTTCTCCTCCTCTAACCCTTCCACCAATCTCACTTTCGGTCTCTTCCTTCAACCCAATCCCTCCCCCGATTCTTTGTCTGTTGTGGCCTCTCCTTCTTCATCCGTTCTCTCCCCCAAACGCCCCTCTCTTTCTCTCTGTTGTGGTGTTTTCACCCACGTCCGCGTCCTAACACACACCCACACATCCCTCTCCACCTATCTCTAAATCCTACCCTCTCCTTTCTCTCTCTGTCTCTGTCTCTTCTCTGTCGTGGTCTCATAATCCACCCCACCTTCTTCCCTACAATTCCTTTATTACTTGCTGTCTCCCCGTTCACCTATCTCTTCCCACCTTCTCTTGTGGTCTCTCCCGTTCCTTCCCCTCCCCCCGACGCAGCCCTGCTCCCCGGTCTTTGTGCATTCGTCTGTGCAGCCCCTCGCAGCTGTTTTGCAGTAGTAGATGCCTCTTTGTCTCCTCCGATCTCGTACATAAACATACAGCGTGACGCCCTATCCGGGCGTACAGTGCAGTCACGTACTGTACACAGGACCCGAGGCCAAACACGTAAACCAGCAAAACAGGTCGGGCCGCGAGTATTATTTTCGCTTGGGAAAGGGGAGAGGCCTAGGAGAAGGGGGACGAACTATCCATCTCGCTGCTGTCATGACTAGAGCGATAGAGGGAGGGAGAGAGAGACACACAAGGCGCGAGAGACAGAGAAATAAGGAGAAAAGGCAGACAAATAAAGAAGGGGCGCGATAGAGAATAGAGTGTACACATGCATGTGTTCGTCGAGAATAGCAGGACGAGTCGGAACGCGACAGAGCAAGCCAGGCTCTCGTTGGGCTACATTATAGTATCTATACTCTATAGTGTTTGCACTGTGTTTAGCTATAAGATAAACATATTTATACACAATAAAGTATACATACACGTTCATGGTTACAGTAAGGTAAATATATAATAACGTAAACAGTTTGTGCTGTGAATAATAAATCTCTCTATCTAAATTATATACAGCATGACGGGAGAAAACACAGAATATTCAACATTCACTAGCTGTCTATAATCGATCTATCTATATGATCTTTCTGTCGCTTATTATGTCTAATACGTATAAATAATAATATCAGGATACAACTGCGATAGGAATAGGGTATAATTATTGCACTGAGAGAAAGAGAGTGGCAGAGCGACAGAAAAAGAGATACTTAGACAGATAGAAGGAGAAGGGGGGGGGGAAAGATAGCAGTCAAACTCGCTCAGAATATCAATTACCATTTCTCTTATAAATAACTGACGTAGCTGCAAGCGTGTAGCCGCTATAACGAGAGTCGCTGTAACGTGACGACTGCCAGCTATAACATCGTTGACGAGGAACTAAACCTGCATGCGAGCGATCGTACCGCGCACAGAAGACATTTCCTAGTTTGCTGGACACGACTACTTAGTTGGATTCCTAGCTTACAGAGCTACCAGAACAGAAATACCATATAAATATAACGAACCGGAATATATATATATATGTATATATATATAATGTGTGTGTGTGTAATTAAATACTTGGCATATCTGAGGCACAAAGGAACAGCCGTTGTTACGAAATAGCATTATTGCTCACGCTGGCATTATTATTACGCATACAACGATCATGAAAAGACAAAATTTTCGTCAATAGCCTCATTCCCATTTGGCTGTATTTGTCGAGCTGTGATTGTAAGGGGAGTGTATATTTTGCCTTACAGATCACATTTCCCATAAGAACATCTACATCATCGACTGACGATAAATACGGGTTGTCAATGCTAACAAAGGGCAGCGGCCTGCCACCGAGGACGGGAAGAAGAACTACATCGATGTACGTGTATGTGTGTCGACGCTGCTTGTGTGGCGGCTAGCTATATAAGTCACCGCGCCCTGACGACCACGTACCGCTCGCGCTACCCGACCGCGTTACTCCATCGCTAGCTCAGCGCAGCGTGCGGCTCGATACGGGAGACGAGCGCAACTTCCTGTTATTCAGAGAGAGAGAGAGAGAGAGAGAGAGAGAGAGAGAGAGAGAGAGATCTCTCTCTCCCGCTGTCTCTCGCGCTCTATCGCTCTCTCGCTCGCGCTCTCTTTCTCTCCCTCGCTCTCTCTCCCGCTGTCTCTCGCGCTCTATCGCTCTCTCGCTCGCGCTCTCTTTCTCCCCCTCGCTCTCTCTCCCGCTGTCTCTCGCTCTCTCGCCGTATTAACGAGGGCGGGTGATGCACTCTAGAGGTTTAGCCGATTGCGTAATTAAGCGACGTCGATCCTGCATCGTATAGTTACGAGTCAACGTACAGGAAAGCTGTAGACTTCTTGTTGGTCGTCATCGTCTCACACAGCGTCCGGCCAGCTGCTACTGCAAACGTCCAGAGACTGGAGGTTTAGAAATACATGCATCGAACAAGGGTTAATGTTGTCACCTCGCTCGCTAAAATTTCCGGAAGCCATAGGCGCACGCGATCGCCCTTACGCTCGCAAAAATTGCCGGAATCTACTGCAGTACATATTCGCTCTTTTGTTTTTGTCCTCACCCTTCCATCCAGGGTTAAAGATGCGGAAATGGCGGGCGTGATCGGACCATAGACATCGCATTAACACAGGTATATATGATATCAGGGGTTAATAATGACAAATTATGACAAATGTCACAAATAAATGTCACAAATGTTATCATTAACTCCTGATGACATCTATGAATCGGACATTATGGTTACGACACGGTAGCTGCTCTGTCACACGCCCATACTGCCTCGCGTGAAACGACCGTGGAGTTATAGTTCGCAGCTTCACGCGAGTCGTCAGCATGAAAGTCCGCTGAAGAAGAAAAGCCTTCGCTGCGTGGCATGGCGAGTGTCTGTGCCCGTGAACGCAGGGCGGGACTCCCTGTATTGTACAGCGCCGTGCCTCGCGCGCGGGGGGTGCATGGATGTATAGCATGTCCGCCATCTGCAGCCGCACCACGCGGATACAGATCATGACCAGAGACCGGCAGACTCTTACCCTCCTCCCGCGCATCCTGTGAACTCGGTTCCGTTAAACACTTTCCGCTGCAGGCGCCTGATGGATGAAGCCCCAGCTGTGACGTCACCGAGTCCATGCTACGGTGCTGTGATTACCCGGAACCAAGCTCATGCGCATGCGCGTGGGCATTGTAATTGGGAGTATAACTCGGCTGTCACTTGATTCGTTCTTTGTCGTGAAACTTGAGAGCATTAGTTATTACGAAGCAGAAGTCTCTGGAGGGCATAAAGCAACATTTACAGGGAGCCTGCATCAGTCACTACAGCAGCTATATATATATATATGAGAGAGAGAGAGAGAGAGAGAGAGAGAGAGAGAGAGAGAGAGTACAGCATCGCGCTGTGCTACATGCGCATGGAATATAGACCCGTCACCGCACGGCATTGACTACCACCCAGCCGTCCTGCGATGATGAGCGTAGATCCTTGAGCAGATCGAGGGAGCATACATCGAGAATTAAAGAACACTCGCCTCGCTTGACAGCCGAGTCACTCAAAAACAAGACACCCCAGCCCCCAACCTTCGTTTCCCGTTCCCTCCTCTCTCTCTCTCTCTATCGATAATACGGGAAATGGGCTCGACCGAAATGCCCGGCGGCACTATGAATACCACGTGACCTCGATGCGTCACGTCACTCATATGCCCTATATGGCGAACGCGATCTTTAATAACGCTGCGACGAACCGGATTGGTTAAGTGAAAAGGGCGTGGTGACGTCATCGGCGTGATGCGGGTTGGGTTCGATGGTGTTTACGACTCGCTGACGGACAAAGGTAGACTGCAGCGCGGAAGGAACGAAGCAGGAGGTGTGTAGATGTGCTCTCGAGTTTTCGGAAGATCGGTTCCGAAAAGCAGTACAGCGACGGAACGAGAGAGCGAGAGAGAAGACTGGTAACATCAGGAAGATAGAGAGAGAGAGGTTCCTAGTCAAGTCTCAGCATAGTCAGCGCTAGCAAGCAAAAAGCCAAATCGGTGTGATCGTAAACCAGAGCGCCTAGAGAAAGCACAGTACCAAAGTCCTCAGCAGCGATTGTTATTACTCATCGCCACGTCATCACCCTCCCGCGTTGGATACGAGTTGCCATAGCTACGCAGAGTTCTACTGTTATCATTTCCAACGAAAAGCAGAACATTTTGATCGATCGATAGTAAAACGGTACGGCCGCGACGCCAAAGATCGAGCTTACACTCTGACGACGCACGCACGCACGCACGCGGCGACGCAACCGCAGCAGCAGTAGTATCGCCAACAGCCACACTCGTCACCCGTCCGGCGACAGCAACATCGTGGAATCCGCCAACGACACTTATGTTTCAACCGAAAATGCGCTTGGAGTTGAAGTGCGTCGTGGGATTTATCGTTAACCTGCTAAAGAGGCACGACCCGTGTCTGGACGACGTCACACTGGACGTGTTCGGCGCCACGCTACGAGACTTACTCAATCAGCACTACAAGCACCACTGGTTCCCCGACAGGCCGAACCGGGGTAGCGGCTACCGCTGCATTCGCATCAACCACAAGTTGGACCCACTGATCGGCAAGGCTGGAGCAGAGAGCGGGCTCTCCGAAGGCTACTTGTTCCAGTCGCTGCCGCACGAGCTGACACTGTGGGTGGATCCGGGCGAGGTGTCCTACCGCATCGGTGAGGACGGCTCTGTATGCGTAATGTACGAGCACAAGGGCCACCACGATCGATTCCAAAAGAGCTGCAAGCAGGGCTACAAGAGCCGCGAGCGAACCAAGGTGGACACCATGCCCATGCGGCAGATCGCTGCCTTCGCTAGTTAGGTTACCAAGAGAAGAACCCGTCGTCGGGTGCCGATGACGTTGCTGGTGGTGGGCCGACAATGCTGAGAAAACCGTCCGTTGTTTTAACGCCGACGTTCGCGGTCTTAGGATCGCGACCCGGAATAATCGTAGTCGAATTCTCCGTCAATAACTTCTATGATACCTAACGATAGCAACCTATAGCCGTGTTTCGATTATTTTTTAACGCAGGGCCAGAGATCGCGAAGATATTTTACGTATAGCAAGGAAATCATTGAGTGCAGGTTCGGACTTGCGGATAAGGTTGTCGCGGTGTACAATTTTTACCCGCACTATTTTTAGACAGCCCTTTACTATCATTTGATAACGGGAAAAACGAAAAAAAATGTTTAATGGTGTAAATCTCACGACTGGATACGCGATGGAAATATTGGCTGAACTAAACTCTCCTGCCCACCATTTTGTTCAGGATGCGTACTTCCTGTGTAGCCGCTAATAACAACAACATGAAGAGTAGGCCGCCATTTTGAATTTTGAGCAAATCGATTTTGTACAGAACAGCTTGGACCAATTCCCGGATTAGCTCGCACTGTGCGTGTTGTTTTTCTGTTGATTTCGATCCGTAAAGCAACACTGCTTGGTGCGCCGTCTAACCCAATCTAACTTTTGTTGCGTTAAACCTAGTAACTGTGTAATTGTAGTTATCTGTAACTTAACTTCATCCTATTATATTCTCCCTTATAACCGCATCCAGTGTAATATACAAAGATTGTCTAGAGTGTAAAATAATTTTTTCCGTCACGAAATCTGATCTCCGATTTACTATTGTCAAGACTAAAAAATAGCTATTACTGTGAAGAATCGTGTAAACATGGCCTGAAGCGGATCATCGTGTAAAAAGGCTTTAAGACATGTTCATCTTGTAAAATGTAAAATAGAGATTTTATTTTCCTGAGTTGTAGGTTTGTGAATTTTGTAAAATCGTAAAACTGTAAAGAATTTTTCGCGCGCGTTCATGTATTAAGGCGAACTTTATGAATGTTCGCCCCTAATGTTATACAATATACTTGTAAAGGTCATGTACAAAGCATTTCGTGGTATGTACATAATGTAACGCGTATATTCTGTACACTACTTTTTACCATTTGTATGAAATAAGCTGTTAACTTTGTACATGATGTAAATGATGAAAATAAAGGGATTCGAATTTTCCATAAACGCAACTCTATTTGTTATTGTTCGGACAATGGCTGGCGGCGAGGCGTGGTCATCAACGAGATTTAATTAATAGAAACCGGATTAAACAATCGTTAGCACGCACACTCGGATGAAGACCGGGGCATACACGCCATAATAATAATATTTATTGATTTATATTGCGCACGTTACATGCAAATATGTTCATCGAGAAGAAGGTAAAAGCCTGAAGCGTTTGAAATACGTTTGGCTGAGAATAAACCTCTGTAGATTTCGGCTCTTGTTCACGAGATAAACCGACATGGTAGAAACTATGAAATATTTCCCGTGTATTAATTAACACGTATAATAATTAATAGCATCTAATAACATTTTGATTTAAGCACAATTAAACATCCAGCTTTGAATTAAACGTGAATCGTGCAGCGTAGTTGATGCGTACACCTGCGTACGTGTAACTGTGTGTGTTTAATTGCACACACAAGCGCGAATCCTATAATCTGATAAACTTTGTGAACTCGATGCAAGGACGTGTGTACGTCAGCAAGATATTATATCTGATAGATACGTGCACAATCACAGGCCGTGCGCTTTGTGTAATCATAAATTCTGCACACGAGGGCACATTTTTAGCTACGAAATAAACAACTACTGCAACTGGTGTTAGGCCACTGACCCTAGTCGGCATGCGCGCGTCGTCGTCAGCTGCGATAAAATATTCACGTACGATATCTGACGGCGGGCATATAAATCATGCGTGCTATTAGTGTTTATTATTAGTGTATGCCCGCACTGTGTCTCCGCGAGCTAATATTAAAACAGATATTACCCGCGGCAGTGCTTATAGCCACCATCACGCTTGCCAATATATATAATGTATAATATATCGACATATATTTAGCACATTTATTAGAGCTAACTGCGTAGCTATCATGTGCTACGCATATACAGCCGTTATCGGCTGTAATTAAACATCCTCGCAGAATCCTCGCACGCTCACACGACGGGATGCACCGCGTCTTTGTGCTAATATTAACAAGAGTGTCATAATATCAAGCGTACATAATAGAGATCTCTGTTATGTACTCTTGATAATATTAAATCTAGATAGTAGATCTATATCATGACATTCTTTATATTAAAACGGATATTACCAAGCGGTAATAATACCTAATAATAATCACACGGTGTTATTCGTTATCATTATCATTATTCGTATTCGTATTCGTTATCGTTATTGATTATCGTTATCGATTATTATTATTATTATCGTGATTATTATTGATGATTATTTATCGATGATTATTATTATTCGTTATCGTTATTGATTATCGTTATCGTTATCGTTATCGTCGTCACGTGATATTAAATTCGTATTCGTTATCATTATTCGTTATCATTATCATTATTCGTTATCATTATTCGTTATCACACGGTGTTATCGTTCACAATTAAACACTGTATTAATAAATTGATTTAGAAATACAGGTATGAGACTGCAATGGAATAAATATCCTGTAAAATGTCATTTAATTTCGTACTTAGACGCCACTTTCTCAATGATTTCAATGGTATATGCTATAGATGTTTGTGGTTTGTAGGCATCCCGGGTGTATATGCCTAGACGGTGCCTGCGGTATGTGACTCATTATACGATGATCCAATATATAACAAACCTACAGACAATCTGAATGCGTTTGAAAAAGTTGACGATGACAATAATCACATAAGAATTAATAGTATATGTAATATAGATATACCTAATAAAAGAGATTAATTAAAGAGAATTATGTAGATATAGTTTTAAATCCAGTTTACCCCATCAAATCTACGCATAGCGACGCCTGGGTTCCGGAGCATAACGCTCCGCGATGCTTGAATCTGACGTCACAAAATCTTACGCGATACGTAATTGTTGTCACTGTAGTGAGCAATAATTACATATGGAGGCCAAGCAAAACCTTCCCGAGTATATATACCGCGTTCGCTCCGAATCATGAGGAAGTTCGGCTATGCACGATCTTTATTTGCATAGATTAAAACCGCCGAAATCGTCGGATATTTGCCATGAATCGGGTCGCGTTCACGCGGCGATAATAAGCTGAAATGCCAACAACAAAACTTGAATTTAATACGTCGCGTTGATTTGAGAACCCACGCGTGCGGGAGATGAACCGCGAAGCTGCTTAACCAGCCGACGAACACGGCGCGCCGCTGTTCTGTCGTCGCGTTGAACAGCTGCTGGTTTCCACCTTATTATGTTTTCGAGTTTTTTTTACCAGGTTCCGCCTTGTCGCGAGTGTAAATGCCCCCAAACTATAGATCGTTGACTCGTTCTCTACCCGCTCACCCTTTTCCTCTCTCTCTCTCTCTCTCTCTCTCTCTCTCTCTCTCTCTCTCTCTCTCTCTCTCTCTCTGGGGGGGGGTAATGTGGCCCGCCTTCGCGCTACGATGATTTATAGCCCAACATTACTTGTTAATTCTACAACCTGCCATTAATATTGTGTGAGGTCGCCACGGCACCCTTACGGCAACGATTGCCTTACAAGAGGCCACGGGCCACCGTTTTTACGGAGTGTACACGCACGCATTCGCCTCGTATTTGAGATCAGCTGGTCGATGACTACGGGTGTGACTTCACGGTAGTGCGCGCGCAGACACGGGTTTGTTGAACCAGTCGAACAGAACACCTGCTCCGATACGGAAATCACCGAGGTTAGGTCACAGGTGGTCGGCACCGTGGCGCCATCTGGTTTAGAATTGTTGTAAGACTTGTAGAAACTATTTGTAAAATCGGTGTTCTCATAGAAATAATATAGACTATGTATTATCTATCTATATTATTTCCATGGTGTTCCTTCACTACACGGACAGGAAAATACTACTCGTAACACGACGTGTACTTTGTTAAATATCTCTTGGTTTATTGGCAAAGTATAAAAATATTACATCTAGCAAAATGATGTAGTTTTTTTTAATAAATAACGCTTTCGTGTGTACTTATTCAAAACTTCAAAATATTCAAAACTACATCATGCAACAATTCGATCAAATATGATAAAATTTTGAAGAATCTAACAAACACAAATATGCAAGTAGTAAATCTATCTACTACTACAGTATCACTATTATAAATTTTCGCACTCGTCATTGATTCAAGTAGATGCATAAATATGAAACTAAACAAAATAACATTATGACAACTGCATGTGCGTCACAATTCGCAGCAAAAATAAAAATAAATATTGACCATTATTGTGAACAGTTCCCTACCAAATTACAGTGTTAAAAGAGGATAACAAATGACTGAATACTCTCACACACAGCATTTCAGACTATATAGTAACACGAGTGCGGATTTATGCATAATATAATAAATCTCACTAGCATCAACAAGCAATTGGGAGAAGTAGTATAACAAGTCAGTCAGTATAGAAATCTAATGGCGAATTATAGTGGTATCACATTCTAGTCAGTGCTCATATCAAACACCGGGCGTTAATTTATCATCGGTTAAACTTCTAAAGCCTGCATGGATATATACATGTTAACAGTTTTGATAAATATGTTTAGATTCAAGTCATCCAAGGCACAACTGACAGCGACTGCTACGTTTATGGCAACACAATATCAAACACACAAAAATATCATCTAAGAATTGCAAAATAAACGTGCTATGAAGCGTTTAATATTTCCACAAACAAAAACCCTGGTAACCAATCACATTATCGATAATCTCGATAAGAGTCCCTAGCTGTCTTAACCAAATAAAAGACCAAAATCGGAGTTCAACATAAATGCTTTAACCTGATTTTTCTTTATATCTTCATTGCGATAACACACATCACTGATCAATTTGCAAACACGAGGGTGACAGCTGTTTAAAATTATCTGATTACTAGAAGGATACGTATACTGACAGAAATTATTTTTAAGAAACAATGTCAGCAGTAGTTAATATATCACACAGATATCAAATGTTAAGCAAACAGTAAATCCCATTGGCCCGTTGGAAAACATATGGTGCCATCTATAATTTATCCACTGTTTTTCCAGATGTCAAAACAATCAGTAGATTCTGCGCAACAATTGAAACAATGCAGATGGCCAATTGGCCTGGGATTCTAATTTTATTTAATGTAGTCATCAAAAACACATTAACATGGCTAACGATGTAACAATTGCCATGTGGAAAAAAAGTTCATTGCATTACAGACAGCAAATGGACAACTACCAGTTACCTTTACAACGAATATATGCGCAATCTGCAATCTTCACAACTAAAGCCTGGCGCACATTGCCGAACATTTTCTCCCGAACAAATGTTTTTGTCTGGCAATGTGCGGGTGAACAATTGCTGAGCGCACATTGCCGAACATTTTCCCAAACAAATGTTTGTCCGAACAAATGTTTTTGTCTGGCAATGTGCGGGTGAACAATTGCTGAGCGCACATTGCCGAACATTTTGCAGCGAACAACCTCGTGGCGCCGTCTAGTAGCTGTGTTGTAAAGAGTCACGTGATCGGCGCATGATTGGGCACAAAAATCATGTGACCACATATCGTGCTGCTATTTTATATATATATATATATATATATATATATATCAGAGGTGTTAGCGCCACGGTAGCGCTGCGAGACATAATAACTAAGTAGATTCAGGTTATAGCTATGCCGGGCGTAACGTGCGCTGAGCGCATGCGCGCATTAGCGTGCTGCCGACGCCATGACGCTCGCGCGGCCCTCAGATAACGCATTAGCGACTGCTTTACGCCTGACGTATGCACGGTTCCTTGACCAGACAGACGCGCGTATAGCATGTCTATAGATCTCTATACGCGTCTGCACAGCGCGACCCGAAATAAATCGAGAATTTATGAGCCAGTTGTCAGAATAACACGCCTCTCTCTCTCGCTCGCTCGTTTGCTCTCTCTCTTTCGCACCCCTGCCTCTCGCTCTCCTCGGCCCTCGTTCTTACCACGTTCTTTCTCTCTCCGCCTGTCTCTCCCCATCGTTCTCGCTCCAAC